CCCACTGATTCTTATCCCTAGTACACCACACCTCTGAAATGTTGCATCTTGAATGCAGCCATAGAGAAGTTCTGCTCCCCACTGCTACTCATGTCATGATGTTAGAAGTACCTCCTCCACATTTCGTAGGCTAGGTGAAACGGAATGCTTGCAACATGCACACTGTACAATGCCTTTATTTCAGGAAGGACTGGTCCGGGACGCATCTTCCCTCCGCCTAATATTTATTGTTATCCCATGAAGGAAAACGCGATTAGGGTGGCTTGGGGAGTTGAGGAGATGGGTGACCGCGGCGTGGATAAAATTATTGTGAAAGCAAGAGCAGTAAATGGCACGGGTCACAACAGGACGGAAAAAGTATACGCGGGAGCTGCACAAGTCACTCTTGAGGACTTGACGCCTGAGACATTGTACAGAGTTTCCATGGATGCTTATCGAAATGGAACTCTTATTTTTGGTTCCGAACGTTTCATCAAAACATGGCCGGCAGGTAAGTTTCATTCAGTTTATGTCCATTGCATTTCCAAACACGCATTCAGAGCTGCGTCGATATGCCAGCTTGATTAGGTTTGGCTGAACCCCACACAGATTAAACCGAGCCAGCGGCTGCGTTAGTCTCTTGCCTTGGCTTATACACGTGCAAAGCTACAGATTTGGCATTAAGAGCGGTAACGCATTGTGGAGTGTAGCCCGACTCCTTAAAAGGAGTGGATGTGCAGGCCATTAGAAACGAAGCCAGTATGTCTGATTACACTGCAGCCATTGGAGCGCTGACCACTGGTAAAGTGGTGCATGTGATTTTGCTATGAAACTTTACACCGAAGGATACTACCCGCAAACCCCTATCTTGCTGCCATGTCCCACGCCAAAACATAAGCACATACGTTGAGCACACTCCCATGGGGCAGTCGTTAATGCTCACTACCACACAGTTCACATTTTCAAGGCGTACATCTACTACATGATACCATTATCCGAACGCTTTTCATTTTACAGAGAGAAGGAGGAAGGATGCGCGATCACAAAAAGTGAATCAGACTACACTCGTGGGAAGCCAGGTATCATAATTACTTGCATGGCAGTGGTGCGTGTGCAAGTTGGTGCAAATAACCATCTGCCTCGTCTATATGCATCATATCTTAAGTTAAACGATTTAATCTTTTCTACTACAGGTCTCCACAGAGCAGACAATACTGCATCAGTCATGATTCACTCGTGCCTAAATAGTTTACTGTAACCTCTCTCTTTACATAGTTCCTCAATAGCAAATACACGTGCCTTTCAACGCTTACTTCACTCTTGTCCTTTCGGATTCACTTTAGCTGACTGCAAGGGTTTCCCTCCTAAGAGATAAACGTTTGAAGGGCAAGTGCTACAAGTTGATAGTAGGCTACCATTGGTCACGCAAGGAAGATGCAACCCCTGCAACGATCATTAGTTCTCCTAGAACCACTGAAGCTTCGCTCAAGTCAATGTTCTCACTAACCTGAGGGTCCAGCCAATAGGCGTGATGACCTTGAAAGTTGTGGGTAATTTGGCACAAGTTGGAGGAGTGGATGGAGGATTGGGTGGTTTCATCGAAATTGTCGTGTCTTAGTCTAACACACATTAAATGGTGAGTAATAATGTGAAGCAACATGACATTGTTCATGCCACTATTG